TATAGTATAGTATATATATATATAGTATATATATATATATATATATATATATATATATATATATATATATATATATATATATATATATATATATATATATATATATATATATATATATATATATATATATATGTATGTATATATATATATGTATTATATATATATGCAAGATTTCGAGTGGTGAATTTTGCACGTGTTTGAGCAGTTGAACCAATTTAATTGAGTAAAGAGGTAGTGTCAGCCGTCTGTGCTGAGTGTTTGTGCGCGTGTGATTGGTGATGGATGGAGTGTGAGCTGCCTGGATAATTATTTCGAGAGAGCTTACGGACGTCACTCTCTTTATAGAGACGATAGAAAGGTGCGAACCGATTGTATGTACTACTACGGTGTGTGACCACATGATACCGAACTTTTACATTTGCTTGTGTAGTAGTATTTGGTCAATACCCCTTTTGCCCAGACGTACACATCCAAACACACAAGTACCTGTCCACATCAGACAGTGATTAGAACCGTACACATCTCCTGTGTGTCCTCTCGTCAAGTGCTCAACCGTTGGCATTTTCAATGACACGTCATTGGTCTTCTTCGAGTGTTTGTGGAGTGCGAGATCGCTCATGGGTCACTTTGGGCAAAAGGGGAGAATGCATAGACTGTTGCGTGGGCGTATACAAGCATTCACGACCAGTACGTCCGCAGGGTTTTAACTGAATATGTATGCTTATACTGCACACCCTATCCATTTATAGTTCTGGGTCATCTATTTATAGAACATGCACCCCATTCACACATTTAGGACCGCCGTGGGTAGCGGGCGGGGGGGTGCAATGGCGCAACCATTGGATGCAGGCCGCCAATCTGTTTGCAGAAGCCTTGTACGTAACCCAAACACAGATAGTGACGCTAGGAGCTGCACATGACGACTATATGATTTGGTTTGCCGGCGAACCTGAGGTAAGCTCGTTTAGGACTGTCCCTGACCGACTGCGATAGGGCCAATTCTGTCCCGTTCTTAACATTATGCAGAGCACCCGAATGTTGGGACCCATCCGATCTACTATCGGAGAGGGCTGCAGGTTTGTCTTAAACGCATTCCTCTATACAGATAGCCCGAGTGCGTGGGTCTATTGTAATTGAACTGAATCGGGGTTGTATGTGTATTTGTGTGTATGTATATATGTACATTTGTATATGTGCGAATGGGATTATGTATATATATATATATATGTCTATTTGTATATGTGTGTATATGATAATATATATATATACATATATGTCTATTTGTATGTGTGTCTATATGATTTTGTGTGTATGTATATATGTACATTTGCATAAGTATGTAAATGATTGTGTGTGTATGTAATATGTCCATTTTTGTATGTATATATATGATTGTGTGTGTACGTATATATGTCCATTTGTATGTGTGTA